AAAAAAAAAAAAAAAAAAAAAAAAAAAAAAAAAAAAAAAAAAAAAACGATTCTCTCATTTCTCATCGTTACGAAATATCGTCGAATAATATTTGAAATTATATTTCACGTAAAAAATCAACTATTCTTTGTCCCAAGGATCCATCGTCGTCCATGGAGGGATCGATAAAAAAATGTGAGTGTGGTGGACATATTGTTTCATCCATCCTGGTGTTTCCTCGTCCGAGTTTCGAAAAATCGTTCGACCGTTGAAACACACCTTCCCCCCACTAACGATACTCTTCCCCTTTTTATTTTCTAGGATTGAGGAGGAGCAACAGGCTCCAGAGGAGATGCGCGCGCAGATCGTTGAGCACGAATCAACCGCCCCCCGCCCTGTGCCCGTGTTGCGGAAGAATGTACAAGATGAACAGGAGTTTAACCACGCACATGAAGTACGATTGCGGTCAGACGAGTTTCGTGTGTCACATTTGCTCGGCCACGTACGGGAAGAATGTTAAACTGCGCAGACACATGTTGCAAAAGCACGATATTTACATCCCGCCAAAGTATTCCGTCCCCAAAAGAATATTCTAGATATTATCGTCGACGCGAGCCTGAGAATCTTCCTTTTATTTTCTTTCTCTTTTTGACGAGGATACTGTTCGTCCAATATGGTTTTTACGATTTTTTTTTTTTTTTTTTGATTTTTAAACTTTTGACAATGTTCTTTTTAACGATTTTGATCCTTTACAGTATTTTTATGTATTTTTAAAAACGTGGTCGTCATGGTGAGTAGTTGTTGGAACGAACGTTTTTTTTTTCCTTTTTCTTTTTTTTACTTATGATACATGAACAATTCAATAAGGACAATTATATATTGATGAATATATAATTGATGATATGTTATATGATTAATATGTTGATGAAAATTGAATATAAAGAAAGGAGGGGAAAGAGGGAAAAATAAAGAAAATAAATCGAGGATCGAGGATTAGATTGAAGAGGAGAAGAAAAATTCTTTATTTTTCTCTCGATATCTTTTCCATTACAGGGAAGAGGAATAAAGGCAAAGATTCAGGATAAGGTGATATTTAAACGACGCGAGTCTGAAACCCGAGTGATTTCTTTTCTTGAGAGAATTTTGCTCAATCAACGTTTTACGATTTTTTATTTTTCTAATTGTTTTAATCCTTCCAATGTGTACTTTTAAAGCAGTCATGGTGAAACAATGTTTCTTTTTCTTTTCTGTGATAAAAATTGAACAAAAAAAAAAGAGGGGGGGGGGAGAGGGAATAGAGAAATAAAGAAAATAAAAAAATTCAAGCACCAAGATTAATTAAAAATTAAGGAGAAGAAAATTCTTTACTTTTCTCTCTGCATCTTTTACCCCTTTACAGGGAAGAGGAACAAAACTTAACAAGGATATCCAGGATAAATTCAAAAGAATCGAATAAAATTGTAAAAATGAATAAATATTGCGCACACCACGTTCGATCTCCCTTTCATTATCCAATTTCTTTTCCAGTAACCTTTTCCAGAAGTTGCAACTGGTTGTAACCGTTTCGTCTCGACTTGTCCGCCAGATTCCACTTGACATTTCGTTTTCCTTGTTTTTCAGAGTCACGAATCATCCTATCTGGAACGAGAAACGGATGCTCGAGGACAAGCACGGAAGGTTTCACCTGCCACCAGTGCGGCAGATCTTACCAATTGAGGCACAATCTGGTCAAACATTTGAGATTCGAGTGCGGTGGCCAGAAACACTTCACCTGTTACCTGTGTCCGGCGAGGTACACCCAGAACGGGAAGCTGAGGCAGCACATGCTTAACGCGCACAATATTTTCGTGCCACCGCGTAGAACATGGATAAGATCCGCTCACGGTTGAACAACGCTACCGTGCCGAGAAAGACACGAAGAGAAGAAAGAGACTCAGAATATCGCGTGTGCAACCGTTTGAGATTAAAAGAGGCAATCATCTTTTGCACAAACATGATGATCGAATTCCTGCTCGTCATCGTGTGTAACCGTTTAGATTTAAAGAGAGAAATAAATCGTTAACGAATATCGTTGTAAACGATAAATCGAACAGATCGACAGTGGCCCGTCACTTTTCCATTCGGATTTTCAGGATTCTTTTCCTCCGCCATTTTCCATCTTCGCCGAAGAGAGAAATATTTTTTTCCAGATCTATATAAATTTTCGTCGAATTCTCGAAGAATGCCCCCGTGGATTTCTTATCGTCCATCGAAGATAAGCAACGAGGAAGAATCGAGCATCGGAAGAAGATCGAGCCAACCTGCAATGATGTGATGCCGGCCATTGAAGATATCGTTTCCCGCGTTTATTCCCCCGCTTTATACACTTTCCCCTCCCCTATGTAGAATTTAATAAAAAACGATTGACTCTGATAGTCGTGACTTCGTTTCTTGCTCGTTTTAAATCGAATTGTTTTCAATATGCTCGCTCGTTTCGGTAAACCGGCCACCATCTTGGAAGAATATACAAGAAATATAATAATATATATATATAACGTTTTTCGCGTTGTTAAACTCTGGACTCGACGAAATCGATGAAAAAAAGAATTATTGCCAGTTTCGATTTTGACTTCTCTCCTCCTCCTCCTCCTCCCCTCCCTCCTTTTCGAAACTGTCAATTAATTGTCGGTCCATTTATTATCGAATTAACAATTACATTTTTAATCGAATCGAAGACTTCTTCTCGCGAAGAATCACAAATCACTCGAAGATCGACGCGTTTAAGTGTCAGATTGATTAGAGAGAGAGAGAAAGAGAGAGAGAGTGAGAGAGAGAGAGAGAGTGAGTGAGAGAGAGAGAGAGAGAGAGATATTCTCGCATCTAAAGAGAATAACTTCTTTCGATTTATAACGAAAATTGTACGGATTTCCGTTCTAGTACGAAGATATATTCTGACGTCAGTGTTTTTTCTTTTCGTTCGACAGGTTACGTGAGCTTTCGATTCCCCTGCCAGCAATGCGGACGGGGATACACGAGGCGGTGCAACTTGAGGAGGCACATGAAATGGGAATGCGGAGGAAAACGCCAGTTTCCGTGTTACTACTGCAGCTACAGTTTCACTCAGAAGACGAGCCTCCACCGTCATCTGATCGCTATTCATAAGATAGATATTGTCAATGGAGTAGAGCCTAATCTTATGTTGTAGACGATCTCGCGACATTTCTTTTTTTTTTTTTCCCTCTCTACCCCCTCTCTTATTGATTAATTTTCAACGAGAATCCTCGTCCAATCATCGACGATCGTATCGTATCGTCTCGTCGATTTCACTTTTAGAAAAATTAATACTTACCCTTCTCCATTTCATTTAATGGATAAAAAAAAAAAAAAAAAAAAAAAAAAGAAAGAAAGAAAAAAAAAGAGAAAAAAAAAAAACGAATATAATCCTGTGCCTCTCCGTGCCTCTCGTAATAACGCCCTTCCACGTAAAAGAGGCCTTTTCGCTTCCCGTTCGAATCCTCCCCCTACCCCGTTGCTTGCTCGCTTGCTTGCTCCTCCCCACGTCCCCCTTCGATTATATCCCATCCATTTTCCCTATTCGATGAT